ATGCTAACCTTTTGGGCTCACTCGGTCAAACTAAGGCCGAGAGCGAACTAGCCCATAGAGAGACACATGCTTAGTGAACCACCCAGCCAATACGCCATTTTGACATGTGAAGTATGAGTATGAAGTAGTCTTACACTGAGTAGTAGATATGCTGTCACGGTATAAACCTCAATTAGAACGACCTATTCATAAAAGAAAGTTCAAAGCGTCTGTCGCGCGTGACATCACGGTGACCCGAAAGTCGATTCACAGAGTTTTATTTGAGTGAAGAGAAGCACATCGACACGACATTGGAGAGAAATTCATACAGAAACAACAAAGGGAAAGTAAAGAAGAAGAACCTAAGAGTGTCGCCCTCCAACCACCGCACTAAGCAGTCGGTATGTTGATTAGGAATAAACGTCAATTTGAACGCCCTATTCTTAAAATATAGTTAAAAGCGTCTTCCGCGCGAGACGTCAAGGCGAACCGAACGTGGCCTCACACGAGTTTTGAGAGAAGAGAAGCACATTTTTACGGTTTCGTGCTTGTCCGTCACTGCGAACATTTTTAGAAAGATATAGTACGATTTTATTGCCTAGAGTTATTTATGATGACAGTCGTGTAAAATTTCTCAGTGACAAATTCTTTCAATTTACCATTATACATGTACCCCTTTCTGGGGAACATAATACAGTGTCACTTCCTGTTAATAAAATACATACGGCTGCTATCATTCACAGATTCTCTACTTAATTACCTTGCACTTTGCATCCGTTAGGTTGCACAAATTTATAATTAAAACAATGCCTGTAATTACCGCCATTTATTTTTTGTTTTACGACACGTGGGTGGTCGGTCCCTTGGGCTACTACACTTTGCATCGACTTCAACTTTCTCTCTCTGCTATGGAACCATTCTAGCGAGGACGTATGGTGGTGATGGCGGGGCAGCTCTTCAACAACTGAAACAAAACGAAAAATCTGCTCTGTCCATCCCTTTTTTTCGTCTTTTTCCTTTTTTTCTTTTTTCTATCTTTTCTTTTTGGTGTCTTTTTAAACATTTTTCCACGTATCCTGATGACGTAAAACCCTGGTGTCCTCGGCAGCTTTTAGCGTGGTCTCATCAGCTCGCATGTCGCCCGCACACATGGCTGAGCCGCGCGGAGTGCTGCCCATTAATTATCTAGTGTTTCGCCCTCTCTGAATGGCCGGCCTGTTAGCGCGCTATTTGGGCCGCCTGTTTTTCCTCGCTCCGTGGGGGCCCTTTCCTTCATGAAGAGCCTTAAACCTGTGGGGTTTTGTTTTGTTTTGGGTCTTTTTTAGGTGGGGGTTGTTTTTTTGTTGTTTTTTTTGGGGGGGGGTTGTTCTGGCCTTTTCACCACCATCACGTGCAGGCGGGGAAACGAAAATACGGCGAGTGTCCGTCACGAAAATGCCGAGGGTTCAATGCTTTCCCAGTGCGCATCTCTGTGCAAGAAAAATGCAGCTCTTGTTATTTCTAAGGGCTCTCTTGCCGGGATTATTTATTTAACTATTACAGGGTTGTTGTTTTTTAATTTGTATTGTTTTGTTGTTGTTGTTGTTTGTTTTGTTTTTTTTTGGGGGGGGGGGGTAGGTGATGCAGAGATTTTTTTTAAAACCGGATGACAACTCGTTTTGAATCGCGCGGTTTCTTTTCTATTTTATTTATTTATTTTTTTTTAAATTTTATATCACTTTTTGGGGAGGGGGAGGAGGGGGTGGTATCGTTCTTTTCTTTTAACTAAACGAGTGGTGTTTTCCCCACAGACTGTTATCACGGGCGGTGAATATACTGGTCATGGCTCCGTAATTCCTCCCGCGCCACGGCTGACTGCAAGGAAGGGGGGAAGTGGACGAGGTTTCAATTGGTTCGAACCACTGGGTTGGACGCAATCTCTATAGAAACTTTAGTGGTTTGAACTTGCTTGAACGCGAGCGTTGAGGACCCGTATAAATGGATGATGGCAGCGCCATGCCCCCGCAGAATGGCGTAAGAATGGGAGGACGCCCGAGGGCAAGGGGTGGGGTGAGGCTGCCAGATGTGGGTGGCCGTCCAGGTGGAAGGAGTCACGCTACCAAAGCACCAAAGGCCCGTTGCAGTGTTTCATTACTCTTTGTTTGTTTGTTTGTTTGTTTATTCGTTTGTCGAAGCAGACTTTGTGCTGTTGAAGCTACAGAGGTGAGCACAGAGTAAGCCTGATTCCCTGTAAAGACTTCTCTGTTGACATCCACCCCTTGGCGCTCATATAACCTTGTGCAGTTGCGAACACCGTAAAAACTCTACTAAAACTAGAGAAAAAAGAGAAGTACATCCACACAATAACGGCCATGTTGATTGTTTGTTTGTTTGATTAAAGAAAAGCACAGTTACACATTAACAGTTATATTTCAGCAAATAGAAGCAGCACATCGACACATTGTAAACGGTCATGTTTGTACGTCCGAGTTAAGAGATAAACATTGACACATTAAACGTCATGTCTGAGCAAATAGAAGCACATCGACATAATATTATAAACGGTCATGATTGAGGAAATAAAAGCATATCGACACATGATAAACGATCATGTTTGTATGTCTGTGTTACGATCAGGTTTGCTTGTTTGAGTAAAGAGAGGCACATAGACACACGAACGGTCAGGTCTGTTTTTGGTTGTGAGTCTGGGGTTATATATCTTAAGTTCATAACGAGTTTCAAATCCATAAAAGTAACCTTTTGCTCGATGCAGAGCCAACATGTCTGCAGGAAACAGGGGAACAAGAATTTGTAATTTGCAGGAGGTTGGAGGGTGTCACTTGTAGGTCCTTAGTCTGAATGTCCCCTCTGTAATTTCTATCTGCCTAGCTCTTCTGTACCACAAAGTAGCCGGGTTTTTTTGTTGATGTACTTTTATTTACTCAGAATAATATCAAAACAAAAAGCAGACTCAAATCAATGGTTGCAGGTAGCCTTCATGTGTGGCGCTCAGCGTTTAGCGAGGGTGCTCTACGGTGCTATACAAATGTGGCTGACCCACGGCGTGTCTCGCGTGAAAAGGTTCCAAGTGCAGGACATTATTGATGCAGATCGACCATTTCAACTCTGAGTCTGTCAAGCCTCATGTAGGTCGCCGAGTGTGACACGCTACATATTTGTGTCAGCTGACACACACACACACACAGTGCACGTGCGTCCAACTTGGGCCCCACCCACTCGTAAGCGACCTTCACCTTCCAGCCCCGCCCACTTTTCCGGCCGGGCATCTGGTTCACCTTTTTGTTCCCTCTCGATAGCCTCTTTAGTGGGTGGTTCGCAGGTGCCCTGAGGCGGTTAGCTCCTTCCTTCCTATTAAACATCTATCGCCCTAACCACTCCTTTTTCTGTACGTGTCTCCCTCTAATATTTGGCACTTATTTAACCCATTTGTGTTGCAAATGCCCTAAAACTCTCTAAAAAAATTATATAGTCTTTTCGCTTCATCACGAAGTAGGGTGCTGGCCTGTGAATGCGCTGACCCTAAGATCGCATCCTGTGCCCTATGGCAAGCTTGCCTTATTTCTCACGGATTTCGTTGAATTACACCACCATGACTCAGTCCTATAACACCATGACTCAGTCCTATAATAGGCCTCAATATAGAGAGCCTGGCTTAGATCACGTACATCGAGCTCAGGAGGGGACATTGGACGGATCGACGGAGTCAAACAGACCCCCTAAAGGAATAAAATGACGATAATAATAATAGACAGCATTTGTATAGTGCAAATCCCGCTCAACAGCAAGCGCTACGCGCTTCACAGTCTATACTATTACCCCAGCACACCAGAGAGCATCGGCCATATAATAGGGGCTAAAACACTAACATACTGACAAGATCTTTCGCTGTCTAAGAGATAAAAAAAGCATATGACGAACCAAACATCAACACACCTGGTCCATGTCCGACAATTACGTCTCCCCTACTCACCCGAGGTATAAAAGGACAGAAAAAGTAAACTAAGCAAGTCTCAAACCTATCAGAATAAAGTAATTGTGTGGGTATAACGCCCCTAGAAAGACTATTAGATTATCCTAGAGGTGGAGCCTCTAAAATTAAAGTCCGTCTCCGATAGGACACAGCCATAAGGGTTGAGAGCCTTGAAAACTCTAACATGATCCGAGTTTAAGAAAGCCCAGTCCTATCACAGGCGGGTGCTAAACGTTTGCCAGGAGCTTCCCTTAGTTTTAGTTGAAAAGTCACCACTGCCACGCTTCAACAAGAATGGGAGAATCGAGAAGTCTAAAAATGGAGGTTGATACTAACCTGATTTTTGTAGTTATTGTTATAGTAAGAGTTTTACGGCACTTGCAATGCAATTAGGTCAAATAAGTGTTGAAGATTTGATGTGTTACAAAAGAGTAACAAACACAAAACAAAGAAGGAGAGGTAAGGACGATATTGACTTGACAAAACAAGGAGCAGCCCACACCAGAGCACCCGCCAACCATCCACAAAGAATCTGTGAATGACAGCCGTATTTTATTAACAACACTATACGTATTATAGGTCTACGTACCCCAGAAGGTGGTGAAGTAGCAAACTGTGATGGATTTGCCAGCCAGAAAAGTTACAGCGCAGTCTTCACACGTGATACAAAACAATATGACAACACTAAAACTAATTGAAAATGTATTGCACGCACATACACACACCAGCGCGCACGCGCACACACACACGCACACACACACACACACACACACACACACACACACACACACACACACACACACACACACACACGCATCGATACACACACACATAAGAAAACGCGCACACACACACACACACACACACACACACACACACACACACACACACACACACACACACACACACAAACGCATGCAAGTTAATGGAAACAACACCCCCCCCCCCCACCCCCAAGAAAAACCAGGACAAGTCCATCACGTGACACAGACACAAGGGGAGACAACAAGGCCACAAACATCCCTGGACTGGACTGGACACCCCCACTTACCGGAACAAGTACAAGTAGACAGCCGACACCGCGCTGAACAGGTACACCTGGACAGGAAGAAAGAGAAAAAATATGTTATATATAGATCTATATACAATGCCGGGGGTGGGGGGGAGTTAATTATTACATAAAATAATGAATGAATTATAGCAAACTATCTGCTTTCGTTTTAGTAAGTATTTTACAGCACTTGCAACACAATGAAGTAATATAAGTGCTGAAGGTAAGAGATGTTACAAGAGTTTGTTTTGTTTTGTTTGTGAGAGTAAACAGAAGCACATCGATAAAATGGTAATGGTTCATGAGTGTTCTTAAAAAGTATGACAGACTGAAGCAAAGGCGGGGAAAATAAAGAAGCAGGGCCTACCTACCAGTGGCACCCTCCAACCATCCGCCTTTGCCATTGTGGGAACGAAGAGATAACATAGTAGGGGGGATTAATATACGTGTATTTTGTCTGGTTGTTATATTAGTAGTTCGTCATGAGCTGACGTTTTACACCAAATTGAAAAACGTCAACCTCATCTCATTATAACATCAATTCACATAAACATACACAAAGACTTTTAACCCTATCTGTACGTCGTGTTTTACTATCGTATCCATACGACGTGGGGAACTCTGTGCAACCACTTTCCAAAGAGGAAATTTACTTGTTAATCCGATCCATACGCTTTGCATAGCAGTCTGTCAAAATGATTTTTTGAGAAATACTGAAAGTTTCAAAGAGATCTTCGTACTAGAAGTATTTTAAAATGTGAAGAATACAACCCCGGAGGTACAAAACGACCCCAAGGCGTTATGATAGGGTTAAACACGCACTTGTGTGTGTTTTTCAGGTTAAAAAAGAACACGATTTGTATGTAAGGGAAAATAAAGGAAGGGGGGGGTCTCTGTGCGCGCGCGCATAATGTGTGTGTGTGTGTGTGTGTGTGTGTGTGTGTGTGTGTGTGTGTGTGTGTGTGTGTGTAGGTGTGTTTATGTGTGTAGGTGTCTTTTGTGTGTTTGTTTTTGTGCGCGTATGTGTGTTTGAGTGGGTGTTCACTTTTACGGTTCTGTCTGTCTGTGTGTGAGTGTCTCTTTCCCTCCCTCCCTCCCTCCCTCCCTCCCTCCATCCATCCATACATCCATCCATCCACCCACCCATCCATCCATCTATCTAGCTATCCATCTATCTCTCTCACTCCCACGAGCCCACTTCCTCCTTCCTGTCT